ATGGCCTCTGTCTGGTTCTGCGGCGTGAACGGGCTGGGGCCGGGCGGGTTCGGCGCGATGTGTACTTCCCGCCGATCCTGCTGGCCCTGTTCGTTGCGTGCTTTCTTCTCCCTCGGGTAGCTCGCCAAGCCCGCCAGCTCGTCGTCTGGGGACACGTCCATGATCGTGCTGGGCTTCTCCGTATCCTCTTTTCCGTGTGGGGTAAGGTTCCCTGCCTTGTCGAGCGCTCCCAGGAGCTCCGCGGCTATGTGCACGCGCGGGTTTGCCTGGTCCTTCTCCCCCGATTGGCTGTGCTCCGCGCGCTTCGATCCCAATGCTGCTCCTCCGGCGACTGCTAGATGATCGCCTCAGTCCACTTGGAAGAAGTCCCACCTGTTCAATGAGAGCTTTCTCGTGCGCGAGCATGTCCTCTCCGTTCGTCTCGAAGCCTTCGAACTTGCCTTTCTGCCTCCACGATCTTCTGCTTCCTCCTTACTATTTTGCATGCATCCCGTGATCATCTTCAAATGCTGCTCGCTCGGTGCGGTCGAACTCATGGGAGTCTTCGCCATCGAACGCTTTGCTTCCTGTAGCTTGCCCGCGTGTCCGCAATTCACCTCGCTGACGAATCAACTGCGTCCTCCGTTCTCGCATCTGCTCATAGTCAATGATTGTGCTTTCTTGGCGTGGAAAATGTTCGGCCATGTTCTATCTGCTGGAACCAGGCCTCAAGTTCCAAATTTGCTGTGCGTCTCCACTGTCCCGTACGTGTCGCCATTCGTCTTCAGATATCTGCCGTGCCTTACCCTCGTCCTTTTCCAGAAGACTCTGTTTTCGAGTTCCTTTGGCGTTCGCTGCCAGCATCGCATCACGATTGGCGAGCAGGGTGAAATGTGCCTGGTGTGCACGCGTAGCTCCTAATTACGTCCATTTTTGCCGACACTGGCACTTGATCGTGTAAGGTCGACACACACCTTTGCAGACGCCGTCCACGCCCTTTGAAGAGTGTTGAACCGATAGATCCATGAGACGTCGGTCTGCGGCATGTTGATGTGGTCAGCCTTACTTCGATGTTTCCACTCAAAAAAAGTCCACCTGATTGCCAAAACGTGTCTGCTGCCGCCATGTGGTTGTCTGCCAAGAAATCTCGTATCACATCTGAAACTTTACCTCCAAGGCAGGCTCGTGCGTTTCGACCTCGTCACTTTGTTGTATATGCTTCCTTTCTGTGATATCCGTCATGGCTCCGAGAGCACAATTGAAATCGCCGATGATGAGGGGGGGGAATCGCCGCCGCCCATGTTGTCCATCTCCTGCTCTATTCAACCCGATGCCGGTGTAACGGTGCTCTGAAGTATCTTGGCGGCAGCTCCTTTGGGTGGTAGGTGTACGATAAAAGCTGCAAGCCGCATTCTTCACAGTTGAAACGAAACTAATTCCAAGCCCACGAGACTTAGGTAGTACTTGCGTATTGTTTACTGTTCCGTTTTATCCTTTTGTCCACACATGAATGCGAGTCCGCATGCGTGGTTCAATACTATGTTTTTTTTCCCTTCGAACTGAGCTGCTCGATGTTGAAATAATTGGCATTGTGTGTTGTCCGTCTCGATGTGGGATGCTTTGCTATTGCCGACGCATGCAACGAAATCGTCTGTCGCCGTGTTCTCCGACATGTTGTCCAAGCGCATGGAGTCGCCGCTCTGCACGTTACGAAAGAACAGCTTCATCGTCAAAAGCCAACAGTTCGAGAGAATTCTCATGCAATCACTGGCCCGAGCCGGCCTAGCCCCGCTGCGCGGCCTTGTACGTGCTGCTCACATCGGGTTCGATGAGCAAGCGAACTGTTGGAGCTACGGCGGGTCTTGTGCCAACTTGCTCATGGGGGAGGAGGAGGAGGAGGAGGAGGAGGGAGGAGGAGGAGGAGGAGGAGGAGGAGGAGGAGGAGGAGGGGGAGGAGGAGGAGAGGAGGAGGAGGAGGAGGAGGAGGAGGAGGAGGAGGAGGAGGAGGAGGAGGAGGAGGAGGAGGAGGAGGAGGAGGAGGAGGAGGAGGAGGAGGTGGAGGAGGAGGACGAGGAGGAGGCCATGCTTCCCCACAGGTGGCCTCCGTGGCCGCGGCCGCCGCCCGCGGAGCAGAGGCCTCTGAGATCTCGGGCCGCGGGTGGGGATGCATCGGGAATCTCTGAGATCCGGCGGCGATGAGGGATGTCTCGGGCGCCGCGGCCCCCATGCGTCAACACTCTCGTCCCAATGTTCCCACTTGATGGGGAAATCATGCCTTTCTCTGGAACGCTCCGAGAGCGTTCCGGAACGCTCTGGAACGGATTCGTCCTCGCCGTCCGACAGACCCCTCCTGGAGTCCATCTGGTGCAAGGCCTTTCTCTGGAACGCTCTGAGAGCGTTCCGGAACGCTCTGGAACGGATTCGTCCTCGCCGTCCGACAGACCCCTCCTGGGGCCCATCTGGTGCAAGTGTGGTTTTTCACTCGGATGCGTTCTTGACGGTCCTGGGGGCCGAGAGCGGCACCCTGGAGGTCGCAGAAGGCACGAAACCTGCTCGAGCCCGGCACCTCGAACCTCGCCTCCCCCCCCCCTCCTCCCCCCCTCGAACCTCGCCCCCCCCCCCCCCTCTCGAACTCGCACCCCCCCCCCCCTCGCCCCCCCCCCCTCCTCCCAGTTCCTGCTCGCCGGAACCAGTGCTGGGCCACCTCGGACCCCCAGCGGGCTCTGAAATCCAGGGGTCGGGCGGGCGTGTCCTCCTCTAGGGGGAGCTGGGCGAAGAATGAAGAGTACCCCAAAAATGTTCAACAAGGTCAGAGAATACGCAAAACGTCGTTCCCCGACTACTTCGGGACTATTTTCGAGTGTTCCCTCTGTACAGGACAAGCCCGACTGACGTCCAGGGACAGGGACCGAGCTTGAGCGGATTCGAGCTGGGCGGGCGAGCCGCCGCTATCTCAGCTGGCCCTCCTGCGCGCCGAGGCCGCGGCGGCTCCTCGCCGCGGCACTGCGCTGCACGCTCGGGGGCCGCCGGCCCAACCGCAGGGGATGTCGGAACTGGGAGCCCGCCCACCGAACCGACTCCGAGGTGGGGGTCGGTACAAGTACAGTCGGGGCGTTGACCTAAGGAACCCGAAATAAGGAACGAGGCCCCTTTTTTCCATAAGTTGACCTTCGACTTCCTGTCAAAAACATAAGGAAAGCCTGAGGCAAGCTGTGAAACACTTCAGGAACGCGGAGCCCCTTCCCAACGAAAAGGGTTCCTTCTTCAGCGCCCCGACTGTACTGTCGAGCTCTTGGAGACCGAACCGTTTTTTTTTCGTTGAATCAGCGATGACCCGGGTTATCCCCCCCGGGGGGGCTGGAGGAGGGGACCGGCCGATAACCTAACCCTCGCGCTGTGGGCAGCCCTGCATATGCCCGCGCCCCCCCCCCCCCCCCCCCTCTATAGCGGACCTGCGCAACCGGCAAGGTTAGGTTATCCTGGGGGGGGGAGGGGGAGCAAGCCCGATAACCCGGGTTATCGCCCGACCCCACAAAATAATCTTTTGCGTGCCGCAAAACGAACATGTGGCGACGGCGCCGCCACAAAACGCCCTGGATGCGAAATCTTCTCGAAACTGGTGGTCGTTGTTTTGGCGACGGCGCAGTTGGTGAGCCACGAAGGGCCCTCGGTGCACTGTCGAGATTTGGCCATGAGCTGGCATGATCAGCGCTCGTCAAGGAGAAACCTGATCCTCGCCTTCATTTGGCGGTTGCGTTGTAAACAACTGCCCTACGGAACAAGCTAAGCGAAGCATGCAGTCGAGCTGCTGAAAGAAGGATTGCAACATAAACGAAAGCCCCTTTTGGGCCCCCAAAGCGCCCGCGTGGACGAAGAGCGCTAGAGAACCAGCCATGGCAGGACCTACGGAACATCGAACACCGTCCGAACCAAAACTGTTCCTTATTTCAGCGTCTTTGCTGCACGCCCCAAGAAACATTGCATCGGGGCCTATCGGGTGTTGCTGGGACATCTCTCTTGCCCAAGGGATGCTCGCAGGTGCTGACTCCGGCGATGCGCCCGACGGCGCCCAATGCCCCCCCTCGGGAGGCCCTGTGGGCTGCAGAGTGGCGCGGAGAGCCGGGAGGCCCCCCCCCCCGGGCATCCGCTGCCCATGTCTTGATACTTTTCGGCACGAGCTCCCCGAAGTCCCGACCCTCTCCCCATGCCAGCGATTTCATCCGACGCCCTCCGTCTTGATCTGCTCAACGGCATGCCTGAAACCTATGACCTCCCACGAACGCAGTGTTTTTTTGCGGAAGCGTGGCTCCGATCTGGAGCCCTCCTCAGGGACCGGCTTTTCATCCCGCGTCGTTCTGCTGACGGCCCCAGGGCCTGGCAAGGCCCCCTGGGGGGCTCCGAAGTGGCAAGAACTGTTGACACGACGCGGGGAAGCCCAATTCTCGGGTTAGAACTCGGGCCTCTGGCGGCAGTTCGGGGGCGATGCATATATCCCGGGAACGCTCTCGGCGAGTCGCAGCTGCAGAAGAGCAGCCCGAGGCTGGGGGAACGAACAAACACAACCACTCCCGCACCTTTACAGGGCTGGGCTTTGACCAGGCTCTCGAGGCGAATCTAGCCGGGGCGACGAGAGAGAGAGAGAGAGAGAGACGGGCAGCGGGGTCGGCACGTCTCCTTCCTCTGGAGAGGCTGGGATCCGCCGAAGAGCCGACGGAAACGCGAGCCACTCTCGCGCGAACTACCGGCCCGGCGGGCACCCTCCCGAGAGTCCAGAATCGAACCGATAAGTCGGATCGGCGATCGAAATGAATCGGATCAGCGGAAATCGGCTGCGGAGTGGGAGAAGTCGAATCGGCGGAGATCGGCAGCCTAGTAGGCCACCGTGGAAACATCGGAGCCCAAAACCGGGATCCGAAGTCGAATCGAATCGAAACCGGAAACCATCGACATCGACTCGACTCGAATCGGAGACGTCGAAACGAGCCCCTTGGGGGTGGCGCAAGGGCGGGGGGGGCGTGCGCCCCGGGCACGGCGCCAGGCGGCATGCCGGGCACGGCGCCGGGCGGCATGCCGGGCATGGCGCCGGGCGGCAGGGTGCCCTGAGGCGGCGGCATGGCGCCGGGCGGCATGCCTCGCCGGGCACTTCGGGGGCGGAGGGGCCTGGTCGGACGCCACCATCACCGCCATCGCCGGCATCACCATGCTCCGGGCTGGCTGCCACCCGAATCCGCCACGCATCGTGACGAGCGGGGCCTTCGGGCCCCCTTGGGACGTGGCGGGCTGACGCCCCTTGCCGCTCACAGCCACCGATCATTGCCCAGGTTACGCACACGCGCTCGATATCACCATCACCATCGTCACCAGCCTCGAGTCACCGCCGCAGTCGTGCTCGTCGCCCGCATTTTCATCGTCATCGTCACCGCCCAGACGTCCGACGTCGTGGCTCTTGCGCAGCGCCGCCCCTCAGAGGCCTGAGCCCCCTGCTGGGACCAGTTTCTCAGCCTGAGCAGTGCTTGACGGCCACGTGAGGGCCAACGGAGGCCGAACACTGCCCACCCCCCCATCCTGAAGTCTGCTTAACCTCTAGAAGTCTTTAGTTTGGACCCCCCCCCTGGAGCTCTCGGCGGTGAACAAACTGGCCCTCCCTCCTCCCTCCCTCCTCCCTCCCTCCTCCTCCTCCTGCTCCTCCTCCTCCTCTTGCTCCTCCTCTTGCTAGGGTCAAGAAACTTTCTTGCAAGCACTGGCGAGGCAGAACTTAATGACACTCACGTTACCTACGGGGGAAGCATGGGCCCTCGCACCGTCATC